CTTTATAATATAATTACTTATTCTTTTTGTTTTATTTTATTTTATTTTATTTTGTTTTGTTTTGTTTTTTTGTTTATTTGTTTTTTGTTTGTTTTATGTATTTAGGGTTTATTTGTCTCCTTTGTTATTTCGGGTGTACAGGCACCTCGTGTATGTTGTTTTGTGGTTTGTTTTGTTTTATTTATTTTATTTTATTTTATTTTATTTTATTTTATTTTATTTTATTTTATTTTATTTTATTTATTTTATTTTATTTTATTATTAAAGGAAGTGCATGGATGCAATAGAGACAAAACAAACAACAATAGGGGGATAAGGATATTAAAATAAAAATAAAAAAATAAAAAAAAATAAAAAAATAAAAAAATAAAAAAATAGAAAATAAAAACAATAAAACAAAAAGAAAAGGAAAAATAAGAAATATATAAAAGTCGAAAACAAACAAAAAAAAAACAAAAATAACCAAACAAAAGCAAAAACCCTAAACCCTAAACCCTAAACCCTTCAACAACCAAAACAAAAAAAAAACAAATAAAAAGCTCAAAACAAAACAAAAAAAAACAAAACAAAAACAAAAACAAAAACAAAGAAAAACCAAACCAAAACCCAAAAAAAGCCAAAACAAAAAAAAAAACAAAGACAAACCCAAAAAAAAATAAAATAAAATAAAATAAAATAAAATAAAATAAATGATTACCTTTATCTTTCTTGACGATGGATATATTCGGTGGTTGTTTATTTATACGAATCCCAAACCCTTCTAGTTCTCTCTCTATTATTTTTTTATGTGTTATGGGGTTGCATACATCTAATACTATTAACAATAAAGAACATGTACGAGCCACCGCTATCACCTGGCGACCTCTACCCTTGCCGTCCTTTGCTCCTATATACATAAAATAAATAAATAAATAAAAAAATAAAAAAAAATAATTTATTAGAGAAAAGAAAAAAAATTCGGGTTTTTTTTTTTTTTTTTTTTTTTTTTTTTTTTTTTTTTTT